CGCGCGAGAGGCCCCGAGCGGCCTCAAAGGAGGACCCTCACGACCAGAGTACCGAACACGTGTGCATGCTCTTCTCGATGGCGTTGCCTCCCCAGACGCCCCAGAGGGCACCAGAGTGGCCTGGCGCCTCCAGGGCGCAACGGCGGCCAGAGAACTAGCTCGAAGGGATCGTTCTGACAATCTCCCGGCGCTCTCAAGTGACTCTGTCTCGCCGCGGGTCACGCCTTCGTATGGCGGTGCGCAAGTCGGCGTCGTCCTGGGGGGGGGAGAGATTTCGTGCGCCCACAACCGACCTCTCCTCGGATCCCCTCCTCTGATACCATCTGGGTCATGCCTTGTCCATCTCAGAACGCCTAATCCGTTATTTTTTTCACTCAGGAGCTCCTGAAACGTTCCCTGCCCCTCCTCTCCCTCTCTACACGTGCGCTGGTATTTACTTTTCAGTCTGCCAACCCCGTCAGTTTTCCACCCTGAGCCGTCCCCGCGCCCCCATGGCCTTGTCCTCGCTGGAAATGATGTAACAGTGGGCCCACAATATTTCGAATACGCCCACCCTCCACTTCCCGTCCTGAACGGCCTCAGAACCCCCACCTGGCGCCCTCCTCGGTAGACATCCTCCAAACATGTTTTGGAAATCCCCACCCGCAACCTGCACAATCTTGACTTCAGAGCCTGTTTCGAGCCCTTCCCTGGCCCTCCCTTCGTCTGAAATCCTCTGCCTCTGGAATTGCATCTCGTCTGAAATCCGGCACTTCTGAACTCAAACTGTTGACTGCCATTCCCCAAATGCGACTCCCATAATGCCATTTTTGCAAGCCCCTCGCTTCTTCCGATTTCTGTCCAGAGCCGACACGGGTACCCTCCCGTCCCACTCCTCCACGCCCACACCTCGCCGGAGATCTGCCGTACCAAGACGCTCCACTTCCCGCCCAGAACCACCCCCCGCCGGTCTCCTGTTCCTGTTCCTCCCATCGTCTCCCGATCCCCGTCTGATCTCCCTAACCTCTACGGGTCTACCTCTAAGAGTCTTGAGACCGCCATTAGTGGGAACTAAACTTATTTTTCGGCGCCCTTATTGACGGACTGGGGTCCCACCAATAGTGGAGAATTATCATTTCTCCGCGGCACCCGCCGCGCAACAACGACGACGACGAGATGAAGAAGGATACTGTGAGCAACATCTTCGGCGAAGCATGTGTCGTTCTATATTGCAATCTTCTTACAAAAGGCTCCCAATTCCCCTTATGTGCAGGGCAGTCTGGGGAGCATTGTTCCCCAGCGGAAGGAATTCCCACACATTATTCAACTGGCCCAACGATAGAACGGAAATACTCCCCGCCGCGACGATGACGACGATTACGACTACGACAACGACTGCGACTGGATTACGACTACAACCACGACTACGACTACACTTACAACTGCAATGACAATTCGAATCACGATTGCAACCACGCCTACAATCACGACTAAAACCACAACCATTGATTCCGTTTGCAATCGTCAGTAGAAGATGATCGCGAATCCTCTCGCATGCGGGGCAAGCCAACATTACCCAGCCCGCCCAACAATGGAAGGAACGTGGTCTCTGCCGCGCCGACGACAACGACGACGACGACGAAAACGGCGGGACAATAACGACCGCGAGGAGGAGCAGGAGGAGGACGAGGAGGAGGAGCAGGAGGAGGAGGAGGAGAGAGGAGGGGTGAGGATGAGGATGAGGATGAGGAGATGGAGGAGGAGGGGGAGGAGGAGGAGAAACATGCGGAGGAGGAGGGGCGAGTTTTATTCACCGCCGAGAGAATCAGGTGGGGGAGCAAACTGATAACCTTTAGAGGTTGCCCCAGCATCCATTTGTTTGAGGGCCCCGTCACCCCTTCCTTATATTACGGCTGGTGCCGTTCCCGACCCCCCTCCTGGCCCCCTCCTCGCCCCCCACCTCGACTGACATCCGCCACTTCAAAACCTGAATGGTAGATTGCCTCCAACGCCCTTCTAACTTCCCATCCCGAACTGATCCTGACCTCCCTCCTGGCCCCCTCCTGGCACCCTCCTCGCCCCCACATGGTTTGACACGCGTGCCCTCAAACGGTTCGCATTCTTCAGAGCACCCCTGCCAGCCTCCCGCAATCCTCCCACAGCCATCGCGTCTCTCCCTCCTCTTCCTACACCTCCCGAGCCATGCTTTTCCTCCTCCGCTGTTCACCTCTCTCTCACCCCGTCTCATCGTACCCCACATGCCCTGTGGTCGTCCTCAACCTCCCTTCATGTCAGAGTGGCACTTTTACCTCTCACCGCCATGCAGCGGCGCCATCTCCTCCGCAGCGAGGACGTTCAGGAAGTCAAGCAGCAGCCCGTCCTACGTCACGCGCGACACTTCTCCTCCTGTTCCCTCCCTGCCCCCGCCCCCCCCCCCTCTGGCTGCCTCCCCCTCCTCCTCCAACCAACTCCGGCCGCTGCCGCTGCCGTTCTACCTTCTCCTGCTTCTGCTGACCTTCTTGTGGCTCGCCATGGTCATCGCGTATCTCCCTCCTCTGATGGGTCTGTTTTCCACCACTACCACCACCATAAGTTGGAGGGGGGCAAGAGGTGGAAGACGATGAGGAGGAGGAGGAGGAGGAGGACGAAGAGGAGGAGAAGGAGGAGGAGGAGGAGGACGAAGAGGAGGAGGAGGACGAAGAGGAGAAGGAGGAGGAGGAGGAGGAGGAGGAGGACCCCCTCCCCCTTCAACTTATGGTGGTGGTGGTGGAAGACAGGCCCGTCATCCTCCATCCGCTCAAGTCAGGTCACTGCGGAAGCAAGTGCCAATCCCACTCGCCCCCAACGGCAGAACGGCTCAGGCCTCGACCTCCAGATCGCCCTGAGCCGCGAGACTCGGGCCGACCCTGGTGAGGAGTTTGGCAGGGCACCGTCCTCCCTCCACGAGCAGGAGGAGGAGGAGGAAGAGGAGGAGGAGGAGGAGGAGCAGGAGGAGGAGGAGGAGCAGGAGGAGGAGGAGGATGAGGAGGGAGGCGTCAGCGACCCTCTCCCTCCCCCTCCTCCCCTCCTCTCTCCCCAGAGAGCGCGCGGACCGCCGCGAGCAGGGAGGCCCGCGCGCCAGCGGCGTGCCGCCCGCCCACGCTGCGGAGGCCGCTGCCCGTGCGCTCCCCTTCCGGCCTGCCCCGTTCCCCCACCCGCCCCGGCCGGGGCTGGGGCTGGCCTGCTCGAGGCCGCGGGCCAAGAGGTCCGGGGATCGCTTCCCGGCTGACCTCGCTCCTCGGCGGGCCTCTCCGTCGGTCTTCCCTCACGGGAGAAGGCCTTGACTTTGGGTCGCGGCCGAGTGCGCCGGACACAGCCGTACCGCCGTTCGACGACGATCACGCATCTCCATCCCCATCCTTCCTCCTCCTCCTCCTCCTCCTCCTCCTCCTCTTCCTCGTCATCGTCATCGTCATCGTCATGTCATCATCATCAACATCACCATCAGCATCATCAGCATCATCAGCATCATCAGCATCAGCATCATCAGCATCAGCATCATCATCATCATCATCATCATCATCATCATCATCATCATCATCATCATCATCATCATCATCATCACCCCTCCTCCTCCTCCTCCTCCTCCTCCTCCTCCTCCCATTCGTCCGTCCTCTTCGTCCGTCCACTGAGCGTGGTGGAGCCGTGGATGGATGGGCAGGGAAGGCCTCCAGGGCGCGAAGCCTCTGCGCCTCCCCTCCAAGCCCCCCCCACCCCTTCGAGACGATCCGACCCTCCCTCGCCCACGGCAGGGATGCCGCACCGCTTCGGCGAGCGCGGCTGCAAAAGGATGCGGGAGGAGGAGAGAGGACGAGGACGAGGACGAGGAGGAGGAGAGAGGACGAGGACGAGGACGAGGAGGAGGAGGAGGAGGAGGAGGACAGCCTCTAGACCAGGCCCCTCAGCTCCTGCAGTTCGCTGGAGAGGAGGCTGACTGGGCTGATTGCGAGATGGTGTCCGCTGCGGCGCAACACCGCTGGATCGGGCACGAGGGCATGATGGCGCATTCGCTGGGCATAGGGTTTTGCCAGCCGACGTCCAGGTTGCGGCGAACAAAGCCAGTGGACAGGCAGACATCCCAAACATGGAAGTCTCCACGGAAGTAGCTCGGTTCTCGTGACGCCAGGCATCGCACCAGCCAAGCCTTTCACTTGACCGCGCCCTGTTGCTGTGAAAACAAGCGTCTTTGCGAAACTTGAAGTAGCACAGGCTCGAAATTCGGCAATATGCCAATGCCTCCAACAATAAAGCATCCATGCATTCAGGAGTTACACCGCGAGACCCAAGCTTCGTCATGGCTAAGGACGCGAACGAGGTGAGAAAGGGAAGATGATGACTAGGACATGGAAGGAAGAAGCGGAGGGAGACGGAAGCTCCAGGTCTCCGGAGATCAAAAGATGTCCCCGGAGGTCCAAGAGGCATCGGGAGGCAACAAGTATACCCCCAAGCGTCCGAACTCGATCCTCGACCCTCGAGGTTCGAGGACGGCACCGCTCGAGGAGGGGGCGGGCGAGGAGAAAGGCTCGAAGAGGAGCACCCCCCCACCTGCCGCGCAGGCTGCGGAGGCGCGCCTGTTGCATGCTGAGCCCCATCTGGTCGAACGGCCCCCTGCCGATGCCGAGCGCCTGCGGGCGCGGGCGGGCGGCGGCATGGCGCAGGGCCTCCTCCCCGAGGGTCGGCGGCTGTTGCGAAACTTGAAGTAGCACAGGCTCGAAATTCGGCAATATGCCAATGCCTCCAACAATAAAGCATCCATGCATTCAGGAGTTACACCGCGAGACCCAAGCTTCGTCATGGCTAAGGACGCGAACGAGGTGAGAAAGGGAAGATGATGACTAGGACATGGAAGGAAGAAGCGGAGGGAGACGGAAGCTCCAGGTCTCCGGAGATCAAAAGATGTCCCCGGAGGTCCAAGAGGCATCGGGAGGCAACAAGTATACCCCCAAGCGTCCGAACTCGATCCTCGACCCTCGAGGTTCGAGGACGGCACCGCTCGAGGAGGGGGCGGGCGAGGAGAAAGGCTCGAAGAGGAGCACCCCCCCACCTGCCGCGCAGGCTGCGGAGGCGCGCCTGTTGCATGCTGAGCCCCATCTGGTCGAACGGCCCCCTGCCGATGCCGAGCGCCTGCGGGCGCGGGCGGGCGGCGGCATGGCGCAGGGCCTCCTCCCCGAGGGTCGGCGGCTGTGGGGGGGGGGGGGGGGGGGGGCGGCCAGCTGACCATCACGCGGCCCCAGGCGGGGCCCGGCCTGGGCCCTGGGAGTTGCACGGCGGCTACACGCAGGAGAGGCCCGCAGGAGGCCCCCGAGAGGCCCACAAACTGTTCCCCAGAGGCCCCCGAGAGCGCTCCGAAGAGACCCGAAGAGGCATCCCTGACTGAGAGCTTTGGCCCGCAACCCAAGCACGGTGGCGGGATGGGCCGAAGGGCATTTCCTCACGGGCATCCGCGCCAGCCGAGGCAGGCAACCAATGCCGCCAAGATGGCCCAAGAGGCCTCCGCGGCGGCCAGGATGGCGCAGATGTCGTACCCCCCGCCGCTCCCCTGTCCAACTGGCGCAGCAGGGGGGGAGTGGACGCAACTGGACGTCTGCGAGCACTCTGAGGAGCTGCCGCTGGACGCTCCCGCGAAGGAGCGAGCGGCATCGCTTGAGGCTGCGCTCGCTGACTCGGCATCCTCGTCGACCTCTGCTGGTTTCGTCGACCTCTGTATCCTCCTCGGCATCTTAAGGATCGTGTTCGTCAACCCTTGAGCAGGGACCGACCGTCCCGACGAAATGTTCTTAGAACCCAGAAATGTTCGAATAACAGAAACAGTAGTCTTAGGACATAAGCCCAATGTGTTAAAACAACACAGTCTCAGCCAAACATGTTCTTATACTATTCTGTGCGAACCACAACAAGTCCCACCAGCCCTTTAGGGCGTAGGTGGTCTAGGGTGTTTGTCTTCCATCTGCCCCTCTTCCCCTTCGGGAAGGGTTTATCACTGCTCCCCATTACTATACACCCCCTCCCCCACCCGGCCGGCGTCCAATCCAGAACCATGCCGACCGACTCAATGAGGGCCCGCCCCCCCCGCCATCCATGCCTCCACATTGAGAGCATGCGCGGCCGCCCCGCGACCATTGTGAATTGGTAGTTTACAAGGGCGGCTAGGGTGCCAGCAGATCCCACCTGCCTTCTGGGCGCAGGTGGTCGACCGATTTGTTTGACACATCGGTGGCTGCTGCTTTTTCGCCTTATCGTTTCTGATTGGCTTTCGAAACCTGCAAAAGGCCCCAACATGTGTCAAGAAAGCTCCAAAGTTAGGCTCAAGAGGCTTCCAAGCTGGCCTAAAAACGCCCAAAATGGGCGCCAAAAGGGCGCCAAAAAAACGGTTTTGAAGGCCCCAGAAGGGGGGAGGCCTCCTGGTGGATGGCCCAAGAGAGCTCCAAGACGTGACCACGAAGCCTCCGAGACGGCCCCAAGAGCGCCCCAAGGTGGCCCAAAGATGGCCTCAAGAGGTTGTTTTGAAGGTCCCCGAAGTGGGGGCTAGCCCCAAATAGGGGGGCCTTCTCGTTTCCGACGAGCAGTTGCGGCGTACGGAGATGGAACCCCTGGTGGTGTCCAGTGGCTGGCGCACCTGGCGCGGCTGGAACGCGTGGAACACTGGGCGCACGTAGAGCACGTGCCGCACCTGGCGCGCTGGCACGCTTGGGCCTCCACTCCAGGGTCTGGTGCATATGGAACCCGTGGCGTTTGCAGCGCTCTCACGCAGTAGTTATGCTGACCCCCAGGTGTTACGTATGTGTTCGGAGGGCGGGGGAGAATGAGCTAGACGGCTTGCGGGCGGGTGGGTAGCTTAAACCCTCCCCCTCCCCCCTCCCCTGGACCTGGACGGCGAGAAGTGCCAGGGCGTCCAAAACGGCCTCGGCGAGGAAACCTAAATCACTGGTGTTACTAAGGTTTTGGCCCATGTTGGCCTCTTGGGGGACACCGCTAATTGAAGCTCCCCTTTTGTTTGATCGATGTCCCCAAGATTCCCAATAGCGCTTCAAGAGGGCCCCAAGACGCTCCGAGAGCCTCTCACGAGGCTCCAGGGCTGGCTCCTAAGGACTTCAGCCCAAAAGAGGGCCCGAAGAAGCTCCCCGAGGCACCCACGACGCTCCAAGAGGCCTCCGGGACCCCAAGAGTCCCCCCCCAAGAACGCTCCAAAAAACTAAAAAGACTAAAAAAAAGAGGAAAAAAGAAAAACAAAAAAAAAAAAAAAAAAAAAAAAAAAAAACAAAAAAAAAAAAAAAAAAAAAAAAAAAAAAAAAAAGCTCCAAAACCAAAAAAAAAAAAAAAAAAAAAAAAAAAATAAAAAAAAAAAAAAAAAAAAAAAAAAAAAAAAAAAAAAAAAAAAAAAAAAAAAAAAAAGAAAACAGAAAAAAAAAAAAAAAAAAACAAAAAAAAAAAAAAAAAAAAAAAAAAAAAAAAAAAAAAAAAAAAAAACAAAACAAAGACAAAAAAAAAAAAAAAAAATAACAACAAAAAAAAAACAGGCCTCTACTTAACTCTGGGGGAACCTTCCCCTGCGTGCTGCCCACTTCCCTGATCGAGGCAACTCCTCTGGGCATCGTTTTTGGATGGGCCGGCGGGGTTACTTTTTAGTCAGCGGCCGCGGGCGAGCGCGCCGGCGGCGAGTCAGAACCGGTGGGGTTAGTTTTTTTGGTCGCGGCCGCGGGCGAAAGCGCAAGCGGCGAGTCGTGAGTCCGGGGCGCGGGCCTACAAATTGACAACAGGAACAAACAACCGGTGGGGTTACTTTTTTGGTCGCGGCTACTTTTTTGATTCGCGGCCCGCAAGGAAAAGTCCAGAGGGCGGTAAGAACGAGGCTGGGACACAGCGCGCGGGAAGCATATAATTAACGGCGCAGCACTGAGCCGGCCGAGAAGCAGCTGAGCGTGTGCCAGCAGCAAAAGAAACGCTGAGCATCTGCCAGCGATAAGGCCACAAACCGGCCGCTGATTGGTCGCGGCTACGCGAAGCGTCTAGAATTCTTAGAACATTCTTTGGTGACCCCAAAGGCGAGCCAGGACGCTTCGCCACTGTTTGATTGCCGTCTCATCGTCCGACCCCCGGCAGAAGCCGAAAGCTACGCACGCCCGACCGTCGCGATGTTGGCTGCAGCGACACCTGGATCTGGCCTGCCATGCCGATCTTCTGCGGGTGCGGCCAGGCCCCCCACCCTCTCCCCGCCAACCCGACGCGGGGCGCCGAAAGGGCCATCTCGCCGTGGAGCTGGCTGTGGACCAGGCTGTGGAACCTCGCCATCCCCGCCGCCGCCCCACTCGGAGGGCCCCGCTCTTCCTCCTCTAGAACGTAGCAAGGATGAGGATAACACCGGGTGCAGACAAATCGAGATTCTCTGGGATCTGGCGGCTCTGGAGGATGTCTCGGGCGCCGCGGCCTTCTAAGAGCGCTCCGGAACATTCTGAGATCGTTCCGGAACGCTCTGGACGGATTTGTCCTCGTCCTGGCCACGTCCGATCCTCGCCTCCTGCTCTTCGTCCCCCTCGTTGTCCTCGTCCTCCTCGTGGCCTTCTCCTCGGTCCCTCTGGGCCACCCCGACTGCGCGCCTCGCGCCCCGGCATGCGCGGTCGCCTCCGCGCAGCCGCGCTGCTCCCCTGGGGAACGACAGCTGTCTGGCCCAGGCCGCGACGCACCACACGCGACTACGCTCGCGCCCACACGATGGCATAGCTCCTTCCTCCTCCGTCCTCCCACTTGGACTTGAACTTGGAAACATTTCGGCCCGAAGTGGATCTAGACAGGCCATCCACAAGCTCGAAATCCGCACAACACACAACTCTCCCTCTCTCTCACACACAAGTCACACTGCCAGCGCGGCTGCCTCACACCAGAACGGATCAATGCAGGAGCTGTGGAGAGTGGCCCCCCCCCCGACAGCCTCCACATCCATCCTGCATCCAAGAGGAGGGTTCACAAATCATGGCCAGAGGCACGTGCGCGGACGAGGGAGGGACCAGGGTATGTCTTGAATTTAAGGACATGGAGCCATGAACTACCATGATACCCCCGCCCCACTGGAGCCCTCCCAAATGAATGTCGAGTGCGCACATGGGGTCGGAAGATCGAGCCGCCGGCGCCGCCAGCCTGGAGAGAACCGGGTTCCACATCGAGCCTCATCGGCGATGCATCGGCAATGCGGCGGCGCGATCCGACGACACCACCTGGTCAGACCCCATCTGGGAGGCCCAGCCCCACCCCCTCCCTCCTTTTTGGTGATCCTCAGAGCGTGCGCTGACGTCAACGCGTACTTGTTCACCGAACCCTCCAATACGACGCCAGCGGTGTAACACGGGCCGGCACAAGCTGCGCCGTGCCGGCGGAGCCGAACCGGGCAAGCACACATTGGGCCAACAACACGCGTTTTCAGGATCATCGACTCTTGGACGCCCCAGACACTAATCCATCCTTCGGCGCCCCCGAAAAGTGTGGTTTGCACAGGGTGTGGTCTGCAGCCTGCACCCTTGGGGGCACCCTGAGAAGTGGGCGAAAACCTCGACAGAGCTCTCCGCCGCGCCCCGAAGAGGCCCGACGAGGATATCGTCGTGTCTCCCAGGTCCCAGCGGCGCCGATCGCAGACCATATCCCAACGTAACCATACCGTGTGTAGTCGCCGACGTTCGCCGAAACATCCGCAAATCTGATTTTGTCAATCTGCGGCCCCAGAGGTCCCGTTCACCAGGGGGTGTTCTTTTCCCAGTTTAATGCTTGATGGTTTCCAGGCCCGATAACGAGCCCTGGGCGCCGAAATATTAGAAAAAAGCGCCGGCTTGAAAATTACCCCGCGACGTACCCAACGTATTTGCATCAAGTGACAAGAAGAGTTGGCCCAAACTTGCCAGGACAATGGCAAGGCAAGCTACGTGGGATGCTCCCACGCGGCACGATTCACAGGATAACAACAAAAGGACGAGGAGCGAGGACCCAGGCTTGAAAAGGCCATGGAAGCAGAACCGAAGGGCACGAAAAGGACGCGCGGGGGGCAGAACCGCCAGCGCGGCAACAGCAAAGGGAAGGTGACAGGGGGCAGAGGGCGACGACGACAAAGGCGGGAAGAGACCGAAGAGTGTTGTTTGTGTCGGTGGTACGCTAAACATGCAGCGCCGTTTGCGCCATGTCGCCGCAACGTTCGAACAAATGATGAAAACTGATTATCGTTTGAGCAAAAAAAACACCAAAGCCTGAATCGCCGGCCGGCTTCTCTGTTTTCTGCCTGCACATTTCAGCGCCGGGGCTAAACGCTCGAAGGCGCGCCGCCAGGTCTGCGGGCGGCCCGCGGGCCAGGAAATCCAGGACTGGGTCGCGTATCATTAGGAGGTTGTCCACGGTCGATGCCCTAGACAACATCACGTAAAGATGCAGCCGAAGGTCCCCTGGTGGGTTTTCCGCGTAAGGCGTCACTCCAGCGGACCCCTGGGCAACCCTCGAATGTGGTGACAATTTCCCAAATCGCAGCACCCAGGGATGGCGGGGTCTCGTGGTGGTCCGCGTAGGCCGCGAATCCAGTGGACCCCCCCGGCAACCCTCGAAAATGGATCGCAGCCCCACAGAGATGGCGAGGTCTCAACATACTTTGGGCAGGACGTCGATCCGCTGGAACCCCCACCGGTGTTTCGCAGATCGCAGACCCTCAGGGATGGCGAGGTCAAATTTGAATTTGTGTGGGGCGTCACTCCGCTGGACACCCCAGCAGCCTTTGAAAGTTGAGGCAAGTTCGCAGATCGTAGCCCCTCAGGGATGGCGAGGTCTCAACTGGATCTTTGTTTAACGTTACCCGGCTAGCGCTAGGCCCCCATAGAAGCCCTCGAAAAAGGCGACTGTTTCGCATATCGCAGACCCTCAGGGATGGTGAAGCCAAATTTGAATCCCGGTAGGACGTCACCCCGCTGAACTCCCAGCAACCCTCGAAAGTGGCGGCTGCTTCGCAGATCGCAGCCCAACAGGAATGGCGAGACTTCATCTGAATCTGGGTAAGACGTCACTTCGCTGGACCCCCCAGCAGCCTTCAAAACTGGTGACAGTTTAACAGGTCGCAGCAGCACCCTGGATGGCGAGGTCTCATTTTGACTCTGGGTTAGACGTCACTCCGCTAGACCCCCCAACAGCTGTCGAACATGGCGAGATCTCATTTGATTCAGATTAACACGTCACTCCGGCCCCCAGGCAGTCCTCGAAAGTGGCGACTGTTTCGCAAATCGCCACCCCCCAGGGATGGCGATGTCTCACCTGGATATGGATAAGACGACACTCCGCTGGCCCCCCCCATCACCGCTCGAAAGTGGCGTGAGCTTCGCGGGTCGCAGCCCCCTCAAGGATGGCGAAGTCTCAACTGCACCGAAGTAAAACGTCACTCCGCGGGACCACTCAGCAGCCCTCGAAAGTGGCGACAGCTTTGCAGGTTGCAGCCCCCCAGGGATGGCGAGGTCTCATCTGGAACTGGGTGAAACCTCGCTCGCTCCGTTGGACCCCCCAGCATTCTTCGAGAGTGGCGACAGCTTCGCAGGTCGCAGCCCCCCCAAGGATGGCGAGACTTCATCTGAATCTGGGTAAGACACGTCACTCCGCTGGACACCCCAACAGCCTTCGAAAATGGCGACCATATCGCAGATCGCAGGCCCCCAGGGATGGCGAGGTCTCATTTGAATGCGGGTCAGACGTTGATCCGCTGTGCCTCCCACCAGCCTTCGAAATTTGCGATAGTTTCACGGGTCGCCGCCCCCCCCCCCTTGGGACGGCGAGGTCCAATTTGAATTGGGGTAAGACGCAACCCCGCTTGACCCGCAGCAACCCTCGAAAGTGGCGGCCGTTTTTTTTTTTTTTTTTTTTTTTTTTTGTTTCTTATATATATATATATATATATATATATATATATATATATATCTATATATTTATATAATATATATATACACAGAAACTGCTCCCGGGTCCGGGGGTCGGGGGCCGGAACCGCGACCACAAATGTGGGGCCCGGCGCGCCGGGAGCCCTGCCGGAGCGCCAGGGGCCGTCCAAGATCGCCCGAAGATGGTTTCGGAGCGGTCGAAAACGCGCTCCGATGGCTCCGGATGCCTCGCCAAGAACCGCCTGTCATGAACACGCAAGAAGGTGCCAGAAGCTCCAATACTCTTCCGAGAGGCAGCCCAAGAGAAAAAAACCACAAGAAAAAAACAGAGGAAACAATACATGACACAAAAAAAAAAAGCCCAAAAGAAAGCAAAAATCGTGCCATTCCTATGGAAAATATATATATTTTTCGCATGTTCGCCTCTTGGGCTTTCACCGCGTCCAAGACGGCCCAAGAGGCGCCCAAGACGGTCTACGAGCCTCCGGGAGCGCTCCAAGGCTGCACACGAGTGGCCCAGGCCGGCCCCAAGACGGCCGAAGAGAGCCCCAAGACGAGTTCGAGAGGGGTCCCAGACGGAGAAAGCCAACCTCGAATTCCGAGCTTCCGGCCCAAGAGGCTCCAGGAGGCGCCAAAACGCCGCCAAGAGGCGCCAAAAGGCTCCCAAAAGCACCCCAAGACGTTCCGAGAGGCACCCCAAGAGAGGTCCTAGAAACAAAAATCGTGCCATTCCTATGGGAAAGCGTATATTTTTTCGCATGTTCGCATCTTGGGCTTTCACCGCGTCCAAGACGGCCCAAGAGGCCTCCAAGACGGCCTAGGAGGCCTCCGGGAGCGCGCCAAGGCTGCGCACGAGTGGCTCAGGACGGCCCCAAGACGGCCCAAGAGAACCCCAAGACGACTTCGAGAGGGGTCCCAGGGAGGATAAAACACTCTCGAATTCGAGCTTCCGTCCCACCATATACCCAGGAGGGCCAAAACCCACGCCCAGAGGTCCAAAAGGCTCCCCAAATCACCCCAAGACGTTCCAAGAGGCACCCCAAGAGAGGTCCAAGAAACAAAAATCGTGCCATCCCTATGGGAAAACGTATATTTTTCGCATGTTCGCATCTTGGGCTTTCACCGCGTCCAAGACGGCCCAAGAGGCCTCCAAGACCGCCCCAAGACGGCCCAAGAAGCTTCCAAGAGGGCCCCAGGACAGCCCAAGAGGGCCCCAAGACGGCCCAAGAGGCGCCCAAGATGGCCCAAGAGGGCCCCAAGACGGGCCCAAGAGGGGGGCCCAGAGGGGGACCACGAAACCGGGACAAGCTCGAGCCTTCCGCCCCAAGAACGGCAGACTATGCCCAATGAGTGCCCTCAAGACGCGCCAGGAGACCCCCAAGAGGCCCAAAGGAGGCCCCGAGAAGCCCCAAATCGGCCCCAAAAATGCTTCGAACCTGCTTCCAGGAGGCCCCCGACAGGTTCAGAGGCTCCCGAGAAGCTACGTCAAACTCCCAGCGAGCGGCCGGACAAGGCCCCCCACAAAATCACAAGAGGGTTCCAGTATTTGTATCCTTCAGCGCTCTCTGGCCTTCTTCCCCCTGCCCCCTTCCCTGCGACTTTCGTTGACTCAAGCTCGCCTCCTAGCTAGAACCTACGCGCGCGCGAAGCGCGCGCGTGGTTCTAGTATATATAGATCGCAGCACCGTCAAGGATGGCAATATCACATCTGAATCAAGGTAAGCCGGCACCCCGCTAGACCCCCAGCAGCTCTCGAAGGCGGCGACAGTCAGTTTCGCAGACCGCAGCCCCCCAAGGAAGGCGACGTCTCATCTGGATATGGGTGAGGCGCCGCTCCATCGGACCCCCCAGCAGACGTCGAAAGTGGGGGCAGCTCCGCAGATGGCGAGGTAGGAGACGAGCTGGCAAAAGGGGGGAGAGGAGGAGGGGCAAGAGGGGGAGGGAAGGCGGGGGAAGGACGGAGAGAGCAATGCTCTATCTTCAAAACGAGAACCCAGCCAAGGGATGGCTGGGGAATTACGCCACCGATGACACCCACCTGCTTATAGTATGCCTGGAGTGACAATAGCTAGAATAAGCCGTGCGAGAATGACACGGGCGGCCGTCGCTGGCCGCGGTAGCCGACAACTGGATCTGCGAACGAAGTAGCCACCCACTGCAACTTCTGAAGACGCAGCGCTCGGTTTCATGGGGCTCGCGCGCGAGAGCCGCCGTGCCGAACGACGCTCTCGTTTATCATGAAACATCCCGAAGCCTCCGAGACTCGCAATGGATCGAACAGAGCCTGCGCCGCAGCGTCGAGGTAGCGCGTGTTCCCGAAGTTGGGCATGCAGACTGTCTGCGGGTGGAGGTTCGACAGGTCGTCAGTAACGCGGGCGAAGAAGTGGTGGGCCCTTTCGTTAGCAAACGAGAAGACGTCCACGCGGGCGAGGCCCATGGCTCTGAAGTCGTTCCAAGCAGAGAGAACCTGCGCAATGCGACAGGTCCTGGCGGGGTCAGGTCGCCGGCCCCCTTGGGCGGCTGGGCAGGAGGAACTTCGCCGCGCCTGGCCGCTCTACCAGGGCCGCCCGCCGCGAGGGGTGCGCGACGCCTTCCGCGCCGCGCAAAGCGACAACGCCACGATGCTCCGCGGCGGCCCCAGACGTTCATCGCCAAACGGCGACGTCGTTCAGCTTCCCGTAGAACTCCGCGCTAGCTCCACCGAGCAGGCCAGGCTGCGAGGCGGACGTGCGCATGGCAGGCACGTCCAGTCTGTGGGTGCTATCGTTGGTGGAGTACCTGTTGGGCGCCCTCCGCAAGTCGGCGTCGTCGCCACTTCTCGATGGTCGGTGCCCTGGATCAGCAGCTCGCCTCGCCGGGAATTCCTGGTGCCGTGTGACGGCGTTGGCGCCCGCTTGCAACGACAAGTTCTCACGCTGGGTTGCTTTTCGCAGTTCCCGCGACCGTGGCCCGTGCGACGAGCGGCAGTCCGTCTCCGCAAGTCCCGAGGGCAGCTGAATGCGAGACGCACCAGTGGACCAAACAGATGTAGCCAACAGAACTGCCGAAGACTGCTGCGGGGTCAAAACCTGCGCGGGCGGAGCCTTCGATGGCGCGGCCTTCGTGGGCGCGGTCTTCATGGGAGTGGCACGTCGTCCTGAGGAAGGCGCCCGGTCAGGGCCCGCGACGCCGGCTTCCTGCACTCGCCGAACCGTCGCTGGCGGCGGGCCGCCGCCCGCCCCATTCCCCCTGGGAACCTTGGAAGAAACGTCTCTCGGAAACCCGCCCGAAGAAGGGTCCAGTAAGTGCCTCGCCGAGCAATGTATCCTTGCATCGCCAGCGCTCGTTTACGCGGCTACTCTTCGCAATTCGTGACTGGCGCCTCAGGCCGCAAAATAATCGGCCGTCGGTGGCAATCATGAAATGCGCACTGTGCCAAGACGCCCCCATGCCTGATGACGTGCCCGCGCAAAACATCCAGGGCCACCTCAGCGCCCATCTCTAACATTGATTTCTTGGGCTGCTTGCGCGGCGGCGGCAGCGCGGGCATGGCGCGCGTGGGCGCCATGGCGGGGGCCGTGCGTTTGACGGAGAGTCACCGCCGGTCGCCCACGTTCACATACCCAGTGTTCTGAGCCGGCATGTGCCAGGTGGCTACAGTTCACGATGATGATGATGCTGAAGAAGAAGAACAAGCCACGCATGCAATGCCTGGACGACTGGGGCGCCTAGCGGCCGCGCTGAGGGACCACCCCTTGCGCAACTTCTACGGCATTGAGGACATGCTACGCGTGCTATGCCCTGGACGACCGCAACGGGTAGCGGCCGCGTTGAGGGCCCCCCCTGCGCACCCCCTACGTTGTTAAGAAAACGCTCCACCTGCGATGCCCTGGACGACCGAGACGGATAGCGGCCGCGCTCTAAGACCATCCCACGCGCACCCCTTATGGCGTCGAGAAAATGCGACGCCAGCTTTGCCTGGACGACCGTGGCGAATAGCGGCCGCGCTCAATGACCACCTCCTGCGCACCCCCATCGGTTTCGAAGATATGCCACGCCTGCTATGCGGTGGACGACCGAGACGGATAGCGGCCGCGCTCAGAGACCATCAGGCGTGCAACCTCTATGGAATCGAAGATATGCCACGCCTGCTATGCCTTGGACGGCCGTGACGGATTGCGGCCGCACTCAGAGACCATCCCCTGCGCGCCCCTTTATGGTGCCGGATATGGTGCCGGACATTGCCACGCCTGCTGTGCCCTGGACTACCATGACGAAGAGCGGCCGCGCTCAGAGACCACCTCCTGCGCACCCCCTTCGGTGTCGAACATACGCCACGCCTGCTATGCCAGGACGACCGTGAAGGATAGCGCTCGCGCACAGAAGCCACCCCCTTGCGCACCCCGTATGGTGTCGAGGCTATGCCACGCCTGCTATGCCGTGGACGGCAGTGACGGATAGCGGCCGCGCTCAGAGACCACCTCTTGCGAACCCCCTACGGTGTCGACAGTACGCCGCGCTTGCTATGCCCTGGACGACCGTGACGGATAGCGGCCGCGCTCAGAGACCACCAGCTGCGCAACCCCCACAGTCTCGAGCATGTGCCACGCCTGCTATGCCCCTGGACGACCGTGATGGATAACGGCCGCGCTCAGAAACCACCATGGTGTCGAACATGTGCCACGCATGCTATGCCGTGGACAACCGTGACAAATAGCGGCCGCGCTCAGAGACAACCTCCGGCACACCACCTATGGTGTCGAGGATACGCCACGCCTGCTACGCCCTGGACGACAGAGACGGATAGCGGCCGCACTCAGAGACACCCCCCTGCGCACCCCCTTCGGTGTCGAGAAAATGCCCCACCTGCTATGCCCTGGACGACTCGGGCGCATAGGGGCCGCGCTCAGAAACCACCCCCTGCGCACCCCGTATGGTGTCGACAATCTGCCACACCTGCTTTGCCTTGTGCGACCGTGACGGATGGCAGCCGCGCTCAGACACCACCCCCTGCGTACACCCTACGGTGTCGAGAAAATGCCATGCCTGCGATGCCCTGGACGACGGAGTCGGATAGCGGCTGCGCTCAGAGACGACCCCCTGCGCACCCCTTATGGTGTCGAGTGTGCATGTGTTTTGTTGTTGTTGTTGTTGTTGTTGTTGTTGTTGTTGTTGTTGTTGTTGTTGTTGTTGTTGTTGTTGTTGTTGTTGTTGTTGTTGTTGTTGTTGTTGTTGTTGTTTGTGTGTGTATGCGGCTGTATGTGGACGCCTATCTCAATGTGGGTAACGTATGATGCGTGTGCGGCTATATGTGCCCGCGCGTAACATGTGGATGCCCATTACGTGGCGCATAGGTCATGGGTGTATGATAGAATCACCACTCCAGGCGCGCACTGGCGTTGTATTGTGTGTGCGTGTGCGAGTGCGTGCATGCGTGCGGCTGTACGTAGACGCGTGTCTCATGTACGCGCCGTGCATTGCGCGTCGGTGCGGGGAGAAATGATTAGGAGGAGGGGAGGAAGGACGTGAGGCGTGAGGTTTGCGGGTGCGACGCGGGTGGGAAGAAAACCAGATCCCACCAAACATGCGAAGAAAAACATGTGTATATATATGTATGTATATATATATATATATATATATATATATATCCTCGGATCTCTGGGAATCCATCCTGGCCTGTCTTCCTCGCGTGATTACCGGGCCGCTCTGCGACGGCCCGGGCGCCCGAGCAGGGCCACCGCCCCGGGGCTCTAATCCCCCCGCCCGGCGCCGGAGCCCCGACGGCCGCCGAGCGGAGCCCAGGTCGAGCCCGCCCGGCAGCTGGACGAGCCAAAGACCCGCCGACCTGCTGGAGTCGAGCCCTTTATCGGCGGCGAGCGGGGGGGAGGACGTGAGAACGAGAAGGCCTCCTCAGGAGGCGGCGGGGCCTCTCAGAAGCCCTCGGGCCTTCTGAGGAGCTTCCTGCGTCTTCGGGAGAGGCTTGGGGAACTTCTCTGGAGGCCGAACCTTTTGAGAGGGCATCCTCCTGCTCACTTCCTCCCCGGGCTCGCCGCCGACTTTCGGCTGCCCACGCGGCGGCCGACCAGACTCGGACGCCGAACGGGCTCACAAGGGAACCCTGGGCCAGAGGCCGAGAGGGCTTCAGACGCCCGAAACGATCCGCGAAGCTCCTCTTAGGTCGGGCGTGTCCCCCTACAAGTGGATTTTGGATGAAAAATAAGAAATGCCCTCAAACATCGTCCCCAGCCTATTTTTTTTAAACTATTTTTGAATCTTTCTCCTGTAAAGGGATAGGCCCGAATGAAAGCTCCTCGACCTCGACCAAGCCCCTCGCCCAGGCGGAACGCGCGCGGGCTGAACAAGCCAGTGCCCAGGTCGAACGGCGCCGGGCCGCCGCCGCCCGGCAGGTGCGGCGGCGAGAGGGGCTCCGGCGGCGCCAGGAGCCTCGACGGGTACCCGCCGTGGGGAGCCTCGGCGGCAGCGGCGGCGACAGCGGTGGCGAGGGCGGCGAGGGCGGTGGCGGCGGCGGTTGTTGAGGCTCAGGGGCTTCGGCGGCGGCGGCGGCGACCACGGCAAACTCGTCGCCGCCGTCGTCGTTGGCGTCGTTTACGTCGGCATCGTCGACGTCGCCGCCGTTCTCCGGCTGTCGTCAGCGGCGTCGGACATCGTCGGCGGCGGTGGCGCTGGGGGTTTCGGACGCCGTCGACGTCGGCGGCGATGCCTGGGTTTCGGACGTCGCAGGCGGCGGCGGCAACTACGCCTCGGCATCGGGCGGCGGCGACGGCGGCGGCGGCGACGGATGCAACGACGGCGACGGCGACGGCGATGGCGACGGCCGCGGCGGCGACCACGGCGACAACATGCGGCGGCGACGGCGCGGCGGCGAGCCGGACCTCCCGTAGCGCCCGCCGCGCCGCTCGCTCGGCTGCGCGGGCCGCCGCGTGGGCTGCCGCCTTGGCGGAGCGGCGCCGCCGGCAGGAGAAGTCGTCGCCCCTCGCCCTCGACGTCGTCGTCCCGCCCTCGACGTGGCCGTCGGCCGCGCGCGCAGCTGCGCGCGGCCCGCACGCACGGCACGAGGCGGAGCCGACCTCCGAGCGGGGCGCAGCCCCCAGAACCCCGATGCGTGACGGCTTGGGCCCCGAACGTCTTGGAGGCACACAAAAAAACAACGGATTTGTGCTGGCCGCCTCTGCCCGCCCCCCACCGGCTGGCCATCGCTCGGACGTCCATTCCCTGTGTTTTCCTCGGTTTCGTGCGTGGTCTTTTCGCCAAGTGATCAAGGGTGCTCCTCGATGGTCCTCGCCGAGGAAGAAATGCACACGTCCGAGCGATGCCAAGCCTCTGCCCGCCCCACACCTGGGGGGCCGTTCCTGGGCCTTGCTGTCGATGTCGACGAGGTGCCGACACACATCAATCAACAGCAGCCAATATTCAATAGTGACCCCCCGCTGCAGTGTCTCAGCGGAGCTCTGGCGGCGGCGCACAGAGGCGGTTGATTATCCGCCACCGTGCCTGCGCGGAGTGGGCGCGTTAGATTTCTCGTCTGTTGTCTAGAAGGTTTGTTTTTTCTAGAGCCGATTCCCCCCTCCTCGCACGCATCTTGAGAAAACCGCCCCCCACTGCTTTTGCTTTCAGGCGCTCTTTTCCGACTTCAGACGGCGAAGATGGCTCTGACGACGGACTCCAAAACAGCCAAGATGACACTAAGACGGTCCAAAACGGCGTAAGAGGTTCCCAAATGGCCTCAAGACTGCTCGAGAGGCCTCCACGACGGCCCAAGAGGGCTCCAAGACGGCGGAGATGGCTCTGACGACGGACTCCAAAACAGCCAAGATGACACTAAGACGGTCCAAAACGGCGTAGGAGGTTCCCAAATGGCCTCAAGACGGCTCGAGAGGCCTCCACGACGGCCCAAGAGGGCTCCAAGAGGCGATTCTCGTCTGGAGGCCCTCTTAGGGCCGTCTAGAGCGGGAAGGCCGACGACCTGGGAAGTTGATGGGTCATCGTGGAGACGAACTTTCAAATTGTTATCCTCCTGGAGCGTCCTTGCGTCCTTCTTGGTGGCCGGCGGGTTGGGCCGAAGACTCCTGGGGAAGCTTTAAAAACCCAACATTCGGCACGCCGTGCACCCCTGTTGCAAGCCACAGGGGGCAACGGATCGAACACGCCTTCGGCGCGTAACCGCCAACCCCATGCCTTTAGGAAGCGCCTATGTGGCCGAACTTTGCGGCCAAAGCTCGGCCAAGCTATCAGACTATGTGTTCCCCCAGCCGTTGTGGAAACCACGTGTGGGGGAGAAAGAAGAAGAGGAAAAGACAGACAAGAAGAAGAAGGATGAGGAGTAGGCCTCTTGGGAGTCCCTTCGGACACTCTGTGAGCCTCCTAAGAGCGGCTTCTGGGAGGCTTCTGAGGGGCTTCCTTGAGCCTCTTGTGGGCCTTTGGAGGTTCCTCGGGAGGCTTTTTGGCTATCTGAGGGCGTTCCTGGCTCGCCTGACGCCTTCGGAAGCTGTCCTGGGGGCCTCTCTGGGCCAAGTCGGGGCCTTCTTGGGGCGCTCCAGGGCGGTCTTGGAGGCCGTCTTTGACGTCTTGGAGGTCTCGTGGGCCGTCTGGGGCCATCTTGAGGGCCTCTTGGGCCGTCAGAAGGCCATCTCTGAGGCCTCTTGGGCGCTCTTGGAACCATCTTGGCGGTCTCTGAGGCCGTCCTAGACCGTCGGAAAACTGACAACGAACAAACACCCAAATCCTTCGAACACCTTAGGAAAATCAAGGGTTCTGGCCTCTGCGGGCCTTCCTTGAGGTCCTCGTGGGTGCCTCTTGGGCCGTCTTGGGCGATAGTGCGGGCATCTTGGGGGCTTCTCGGCCCATCTTGGAGGCATCTTGGGGCCATCTTGGCATCTCTTAGGGCCATCGTAGCCGTCTTCGAGACCATTTTGGCCGTCTTGGAGGCTTTTTTAGGGCCGTCTGGAGCGGGAAGACTGGGAAATTGACGGGTCCTCGTGGAGGAAGTTTCCTGGTTTGTTTTCCTCTTTGAGCGTCCTTCTGTGTGGCCGGCGGGTTGAGCCGAAGACACTGGGAACCTTTGGGTCAGCAACTACCAAACACGTAGCACGCTGGGCAACCTTGTGGTAAGCCACAGGGGGAGTTGTATCGAAGATGTCTACGGCAAATCACCACCGCCCCATGCCTTTCAGGATACGCCTCTGTGACCGACCGTTTGGGCAACATTTGGCCACGCTATTTGACCATGGGTTCCCCCAGCTGTTGTGGAAGCCCTTCGGGAAACACGTGGGGGAGGAAACTGCGGGTGAGGAGAGGGAGGAAAACGGAGGATGAGAAGGATGAGGAGACCTCTTGGGAGCTTCTTCGACTATTCATGGGGCCTCCTGGGAGCTTCCTAGGGCCTCTTGAAGGCCTCTTGGGGGCCTCCTTGGGCCTCTTGGGTGCCTTTGGGCTGGTGGGGGCCTCTTTGGCCGTCTTACGGCGTCGCTGGCCCGTCTGACGCCATCGGAAGCCGTATTGGGAGCCTCTCTTGGCTGCCTTGGGGCGCTGCAGGGTCGACTTGAAGGCCGTCTTGGGCGTCTTCGAGGCCTCTGGGGCCAACTTCGGGTCCTTTGGGTGCCGTCTTGGGAGCCATTTGGGCCGTCCTGGGGCCATCTTGGACGCCTCTTGGACGATCTTGGGGCCGTCTTGGGCCGTCGGAAGGCAGCCCTGAAGCAATGCCATTTTTCAAACACCTAAAGGACATCAATGACTTTGGCCTCTTCGAGCCTTCCAGGAGCACCTCTTCGAGGCCTCTTGGGCTGTCTTCGAGGCCTCTTTGGCGGTGTTTGGGCCGTCTTGGGCTCTCTTGGACCATCTTGGAGGTACCTTGGGACCGCTCTTGGGGCCATCTTGGCGGCCGTCTTGGAGGCATACTGGAGGCCATCTTGGGCCGTATTGGAAGCCATCGTGGCCTGTGCGGCTGAGTAGCCGGCGGCATCGGCCGAAGCCCCAGGGGGAGTCTTAACAAGAACCGAAGACAACCGGAAGTTCAACACGCAAGGTAGACCTGTGATAAATCAACAGGATCGGCGGATCTAGTTGCCTTCGAATACCGCCAGCGTGCCTGGGTTGCAGGTCAGACGCACCTCGATTGTCGGTGGGGATATCTTGGGAGGCCTCTCGGTACATCGCCGATGTATCGGCCATATACCGCCGACGTCGCCGATGCATCGGCGACGCCGTCGCGGAGAAATTCGGATTTCACATCGAGCCGCATCGCCGATGCATCGCCGATGCGGCGCGATCCTCCGACCCCACCTGCTCCGACTTCATCGGGGAGCCCCAAACCATCTCGACCGCCCCGAGGCAGGGCGCTCAGGACGCGAGGCGCACGCACGCCGGCACACGTGCGAGCGGCAGCACCGCCACGAGCCGCAGGGCTGCCGCCGCGGTGCACCGCGGCCGAGCGGTTTGGGCAGCGAACACAGCGGACATCCTGGCGTCTCGAAAAGAGGCGGAAGATTTTCATCGATTTCGGCCTCTCGTAGCCCGTACCGGGCCTCGGGACCGTCAATAAAGGACTCGGGGCGAGAAACCCGGTCCCAGGAGGTGGTCGAGAGGTCGGGGGCCCGTGTTGCGAAACAACTCCAGACGCCGGATGTCTGGGACTCGCCAGCTCAGCGTCCGCGATGGCATATGAGATCGGAAGCGGAGGCTCGGGAACTCAACCGCCTACCAAACTCGGCGGCGGACTTGCACCAAATCTCTTCCACCTCCGCGAGGATCCGTTTAGTCACAACGTACTCGTACCAGATCGGGTCACGCTTGCAAGTTGGGCCTAGAGGACATATGTTGCACAACTCTATACCATAATTGCCTGCGCTTTCACACGCGCACACATCTAGGTTTATATATATATATATATATACACACCTATACGACCACCCTTCGGGTGATAAGGAGGTTCGGGGGGGGGAGGAACCAACGTCTCACTCGATCGGTCTCACTATCGATCCAACTATCGATCTCACTATCGGTCTCGCTCGATCGATATCACTCGATCGATCTCACAATCGATCTCACTCGATCTATTTCATTCGATCGATCTCACAATCGATCTGACTATCGATCTCACTATCGATCTCACAATATATCTCACATTCGGTCGAACGATCGATCTCACTATCGATATCACAAACGATATCACAATCAACGTCATCAGCATGATCAACATCATCGTCATCAACGTCATCAACATCATCATCAGCATCATCGGGAAACCATCATCATGATCACCTCATCGCCATCATCATCATCATCAACATCATCATCATCACCATCATCATCGTCATCAGGACACAATCATCGTCACCATCATCATCATCATCATCATCAACATCATCATCATCAGCATCATCATCATCATCATCGGGAAAACATCATCATCATCGGAACACCACGATCATCACCATCAGCATCATCTCATCATCATGATCATGAACAACATCATCAACATCATCATCATCATCACCATCATCATCATCACCATCATCATCATCATCAATAGCAACATCATGAACAGCATCATCATCGTTATCGTCATCATCAGAACACCGTCATCATCGTCACCATCATCATCATCACCATCATCATCAATATCATCAACATCATCATCAACATCATCGAGACATCATCATCATCAACATCAGCATCACCATCATTGGACCACCATCATCAAAATCATCATCAACGCCTCATCATCATCCTCATCATCATCATCATCATCATCATCGGGACACCTTCATCGTCAGCAGCATCATCAATATCATCATCATCATCATCATCATCATCATCATCATCATCATCATCATCATCATCATCGGGACACCATAATCATCATCACCATCAGCATCAACAGCATCATCATCAATATCATCATCATCATCATCATCGGGACACCATCATCATCATCATCATCTTCATCATCATTTAATCATCTGATCATCATCAGCATCACCATGATCATCAACATGATCATCATCATCATCATCATCATCATCATGATCATGATCATCATCATCATCATCATCATCATCATCGGGGCACCACCATCATCAGCAACATCATCATCATCATCATCGGGGCACCATCATCATCAGCACCATCACCATCATCATCATGATCAACATCGTCAACATCATCATCATCAGCATTGGGACACCATCATCACCACCATCACCATCACCATCACCATCACCATCACCATCACCATCATCATCATCATCATCATCATCATCATCATCATCATCATCATCATCATCGTCGTCAACATCATCAACATCATCAACATCATCAACATCATCATCATCATCATCATCATCATCATCATCATCATCATCATCATCATCATCATCATCATCATCGGGACACCGACGGGACACCGGCGGGGCACCGGCGGGACACCGCGCGCCACCGGCCCCCGAGCGGGACACCGGCGGGACACCGCGGGACACCGGTTGCCGGAAGGGAGACTTTTGGTCCGGCCGCGCCTCAGCTGCAGGAGACTTATTTCTCGCCCGCCCACGCAGCTTCGCCTCGCCCGCACGCACGGTACCCACGAACACGAAATCGAAACCGATTTCCCGGTAGGGGGGCTCTCCGTTCCACTTCGATCTCACCCCCTCACCTCCGACATATGACAGCTTGCAGCCAACGCAATCGAGCGCAGCATGAATAAAGCGCCCAGAGCTCAATCACACAGGAGGCGGATACAACAGGAGTGAGAGGCAGATGAAGAAGGGAGCATGGGGAGAGACGACGGGCAAACTGTTGAGACGTATCCAACCTGCTACGAGCTACTCAGGCTGGGTCCATAAGTGGTGGCACCCAGTGGATGAGGGGCTCACCGAACCAAACAACACAAGTCCGACCCGAGGCCAACTGCGCGAGCGGAACTGCCGTACTCCGATCATAATATGTCGCCATCTGGGCACAGTTTAGCACTCGCATGATCTTCAAACATTGCTGCACTCAACAATGAATCAACGGGCGCAACTGACAAAACCGCACCGGCTGGGGCCGCCGCGTCGTCGAGATCGTCGTAGTCGTCATCGAAGTCAGACTCGTCATCCTGCAAGATGACCGGAAGAAGTTGGCTCCAGAAAGAGAAAGGGAGAGAGAGAGAGAGAGAAAGGACATCACACCGAATCAATTTACCAACAAACGCGTCCACGATCATCGCCCAGAGTACCGTGCCAGGCACGGTACTCTGAGCCTGCCACTGCCCCGCCCTTACTCATCTTCGCTGTCAAACGCTGGTGTAGCTCAAGCCATCGGAGGAGAATCCGCAGAAGACGCCTGCACAACACCACAACGCCATGTGCGGTTCCATCCCAGGCCCTAGGATGGCGTGAGGATGGCATACGTGCATCCTTGCCTCGGCCTGGAGGGCGCATACATCACGCCAGGGCCTGGCAAGGCACGGTCATGGGCACAGCGCTTGCACTCGGGGGCTTCCTCCTCCCCCTTTGCTTGAGCAGCTGGGTGTGGTACGCCGAGGCTTCGCCTGGGGCCCGCCCATGGGCGCCTCGTGGGCGCCCGTGGACGCCCCGCGCGGGGGGGGGGGAGGTACTCTGAGGCCTCGCCCGGTGCCCACTCGCGCGGGCGCCTCGTGGACCGCCAGCGCTCAGGGCGCACGCCGCGGTCTCGCCCAGCACCCGCCTCGGGGGGCGCCCCGTGGGCGCTCGCGGAGGTCCCCAGCTGGGAGGGTGCGCCGAGGTGTCGCCCGGTGCCCGCCCGTGGACGCCTCGCGAGGCTTCGCCCGGTGCCCGCCCGTGGGCGCCACACAGCTTGCCCCGCTCATCTCACACCACGTGCACCACACCTCGATAATTCACCACACAGCACGCACTACACAGAACTTCAGTCAGCTTGCTCGGCCTGTCTCAGACAACACCACTCACACCACATAACCCACGGCACAACATACCTTGCACCGTGTAGCTCACACCACATAGGTCATGCAGCAGAGCTTACACAGCATGGCTTGCACAACATACTTAGCTTACACCACAAATCTTGCAGCGCATAGGTCACACCGCAAAACTCACGCCACAGACCTTACACATCATAGGGTACGTCGCATAGCTTACGCAGCATGGCTCACACAACATAGCTCACACCACATATCTCACGTCATAGCGTCATAGCTTACAACATGTAGATCACACCGCACAGCTTAGGCCGCATACCTTCCGTCTCCTCAGTGCAATCAATTGCTGTTTGGAATCTACGCTGGCTGACATGATTCAGATATTTCCTCCCTCCATCAGAACGCAGCTGGTTGAAGCAAGCCTACCTCAGCCTGTCTCTTGCGGCGTGCGGCAGCGAAAGCGAGAGAAACCCAGTGGGGGGAGGGGACGACGACCGCGACGAGGGAAGGACGGGGCGAAGAACCGTGCAGCCTGAATGGCCGGGACAGAACGTCGAGATGGTGGTGGTGCGGATGCCTCCCGTGGAAAAATGCCGCCGGACGATCCTCCTGCTGCAGCACTCTGCGCACGGCCGCGCCGGGCATCGTGAGCCGACCCTCCAGGGAGTCCAGGGAGGTCGGCAGGCGGCGGCCCGGTCGGCCGCCTCCACCTCCCCCGCAGGCTCTCCATCTGCTGCGCTGGCGCAGTCGTCGGCGGCTAGATGGCCGGCGGCCAAGCGTAAGCAGAAGGCCCCCTGTGCACCACCACAGTGCCTGGGCAGGGCCATCAGATCAGAAGGCCCGGGCATGGTGTGCAGGCCCTCTTGGCCGAGGCCAGGAGGGACTTGCACCATACCGAGGCCCAAGATGGCCCTGGCCAGGCACGGTGGCACTATCTAAATGCCTTCTGCGGAAATGACTGCCGGTCAAGCGAAGACACAACGCACACCATCATTCCTGCGCACGAGAACCCCCGCCACGCAAATGGCATCGGCCATGCTCTTGCCGTCGCGCGATCTCCCGCACTTCTCTGGCACGTGAGCATGTGAGGTGTGTCGAATATCACGCAAGTCAAGACAATAGAGACGCGAACACTTGCGGACGCATGACCCGCGACCAATCGAACCATCTTCGGAGTAGGGAAGATCACCGCTCTGACCGGCGCTTCGAGCCGAGTCCGAACCAGACCGCCGCGGCGAGGGATCCTCTGGCAGCCCGAATGTGACGCATTGTCCCCACGCATCAAACGGCGCAAAGTTAGGATGTGCGGCCGATGGCCCCGTCACCCCTCGCATACTCTCAGGGACTGGCTCACGAAACAGGCTGAGGATAGGTCGAAGGAGCAAGGATGCGAGGGCATCCTCATCCGCACTATGGGCGGCAACTGGACAATCTTGCGGGGCGCCTGGACGAGGAGCAGACGTCGAGCCGAGCAATTCGGTGATGCTAGTCTGCCCGTCTAAAGTTGGATTCAGCACAGCGGGTGACTAACGCGTACGAGGGCATGCTATCGCAAGGCGTATCCCACCCAGAGGAAGGGTAACCGAGAAGGATGCAGGGGTGTCCAGCTAAAGAAGCAAGCTCGAGGACCGACGAGGATCGAGAACTAAAACTTCAATCTCCCTGTAATTCTCACTCTATGGGACCCTGGGGGCTCCGGAAACATCCATAGCTCGGTGGGGCCTCGACAGTAGGCTAGTTGACTCGGGTCTGTATCAACTGGGGATGTTTGACCCGGCGGTAATTTGACCCAGGGTAATTTGACGCAATAGCTGTTTGATCCCGGGCTGTTTGACCTGAGGCTGTCTGAATTGGTGGTTGTTTAACCCGTGGCTGTTCGACCCAGGGTTGTTTGATCTGGGGCTGTTTCCCCTGGGGCTGTTTGCCCCGAGGCTGTTTCCCGAGTGACTGTTTCACCTGGATGGTGATTTGGCCCCGTCGGCAGCCCCTGGACTCCTGAGGAACCCTCAATACCCCCCATGGTTCCTGGGGGTTGTTCTGTCCGACAGCCGAGCTGAACGATCAGCAGGACCCGAGGACCCCTGAGGAATCCTGAGAGATCCTGAGGGGCCCTCAGGAATCCTCAGGAAGCCTGAGCACCCCTGAGGGTTCGTGAGGGTTGTTGAGGACCCCGCGGGAGTTCCAAAGAATCCTGAGGAACGCTGGAGGCTCCTGAGGAGTCGTAATTAAGGTATTCCTAAGGAATCGTGAGGACACCTGAAAGATCCTGATGAGTGCTGAGAAATCTCAAAGCCCCCCCTGAAGGACCCCTCTGCGGAATCCTGAGGGACCATGAGATGTCCTGAGTACCGCTCCCTGAGCGTCCCTGAGGACCCACCTGGGAAATCCTGAGGAACCGAATACCACCGCATGGGGGTTCCTGACGGAATCCTCGGGGATCGCATGGACTCCTGAGTACCCATGGGAGACCCTGAAGAGTGCAAAGGAATGCGAACCTTCGAATCTCGAAGAGTCGTGAGGAATCAAAGGGATGCCTGAATAATCTACAGAAATCATAGGGAATGCTGGACTCCTGACGACCTCCCCCCCTGCCTTGAAGAAATCTGGAGACCCCTGGGACACCTGAGGGATCCTGAGGTATCTGGAGGACCCAATCCTGAGGAACCCTGAGGGCCCCTGACGACCCATGAGGGGTCCTGAGGAATCGCGAGGACCGTCTCTGAGGAATCGTAAGGAATCTGAAAGAATCGTGGGGACCCGCCCTGAGAAATCCTGAGGAATCCTCAGGATTGCTCAGGGCGTGCCCTCATGATTCCCTTAGATGACCCTCAGTGAGGATTACTCTGTACTGAGGATCACTCCGCAGGGGGCCGCAGGTCCCCGCAGGCACCCGCAGGGGGCGTTTCTTTTGTAAACGCAAGATCTCCGATGTCTTGCATGTTGGGTCCCAAGAATCCAAGTGGAAAAAAAACGTTTCCTTCGCATCCCCAGTTGGAAAACTCCAGGCGCCCGACTCCCCGCAACCAAAGTCCCGCGCTTCGGCCACTGACCTTCAGTCTCCCGCTGTCGTTGTTTCTCCATGCGCTGTGTCTTCCGATGCCTTCTGATCCAGGACTGCTCGACCCGGCGGAGATGTTTGAGCCGGGTATGTTACCCTCGGGCCTGCTTGACCCGCGGCTGTTTGACCCCGGGCTGTGTGAAACCCCGCGGCTGTTTGACCCGGCGGCAATTTGACCCGGGGCTGTCTCACCCGGGGCGATTGACCCAGCGACCGCTGTTTGACCCGCGGGTGCAGCATCTGATCGGGTCAAACAGTCGCCCCCCCTCAGGAGGCCTCCCGTCCTGCGTCGACCTCCAGCGTCTTGTGGGCTCGTGGGCCCCAGACCTCTCGACCTCTACAATTTTCCTGCACGGAGTCAGCCCCGCCGGGTGGCCGAAATGCAAGAACACTGCGCCAGGACTGCACACCATCGGTCCGCCCGAGGTCTTGTGTTCCCCTGGGGTGTCCAAACTGACTACCTACCAGACCACCCCAACCCAACCCGAAGACCCCAATTTCGGGTTGGGGGGGGGTACGGGTTCCATATGTGTTTTTTCAGTGTTCCCCGACCCCCCCAACTGGAAATGGAGGTCAATTTGAGGCCTTCGGGTTGGGGTTGGGGTGGTTTGGTGGGTGGTGACAAACGGCGCGCCGCTTTGGCTCAGAGGCGTGTTGGTCGCGGCAGCGCGGAGGCCCAGGAGGCTGGCCGCCTGTGCGGCTCTCGCTCCGGCGCTCCCCCGGGGCATAGCAAGCTCGACACCACCCTCGGGATCGCATCATCCTCGAGGCTGCTTTCGACGATCCTCTGAGCATGTGTTGGCGCCAACGTCTGCCGTCAATGCGACGCAAGCGGCATCATGAAAGCCGACACGGGCTGCGTGCTATCGCCCAAGCCGAGAAGGATGAACACACGGTGGGCTAACAGACGTCCTGAGGGCCATCGATGCTTCTGGCCAGGCCACCAGCGCCCTGAACAAGTCATCGCGGACCTGGCTCGCCGCTGTCGGGACCCTGGGAGGGGGGGGCGTAAAAAAGCAGCTGCTCCCGGAGAGTGGGTCCAGACAGCGATGCCATCCGTCTTCTGCCTTACGCACCTGACCCCGGGGGCGTGGGAGCCTCCGTGGCCTCGTTCCCCAGCGGGCTGAGACAAGTGGGGTCGCCTCCCCAGACGTCTGCCGTCTGCTGTCCCCTGCGACCTGTACGGTGGCACAACGCTGCACTTCGTCTCAGTGTCGCTCTCCTCGTTCTCCCTGATCCCTGACGTAGCTTGGTTGCAAGGCGCGTCACCTCTCGCCGCCAACTCGAGGCTGGTGTAAAATGAAGAACCGTAGACGGCAGCACCAACCACAGCATTTTGCTTCGACCGGTACTTCGCCACCGGGTTCATGGAGAAGGCGCTCCTTTGCAATACGTCGGCTTCGGCATCGCCTGTTTTCGATGCTTTGCCTCCTCCCGGCCTCGTTCTCAGGCTGCGCCCCCCTTTTCCTCCCCCATCTCTGATTAATTCAAGCTTCGCGCGGCCCGCTTAGCTTCGACCGGAAGAGGTGCGCTCTGGACCCGCGGATCAAAAATTGTTTCGAGCCCCGGGCCCCCGACCTCTCGACCACCTCCCCGGGCCCGGCTTCTCGTCCCGACTCATTCTGTTGACGGTCCCGAGGCCCCCCCCAGTAGGGGCCCCGAAAAGCCGAAAACGATGAAATACTTCCGTCTCAATTCTTTCGAGACGCCAGGATGTCTGGGTCCTCCTCCTTCTTCTCCTCCTCCTCCTGCTGCTCCCCCTCTTCGTGAGTCCCTGCCAGCTCCCGTCTCGAGTTCGCCGACACGCCAGGATGTCTGGGCCTGGAGCAGCACGTCTCGACGCACTCGCGCGGCCGCCTCGAGCAGCCCGCGAGGGCCTCGGAAGCCCGGCCCCTCTGGTAGGGGGCCACATGCGAACCCTACCCCTACCCCCCACGATTTCTGAGGGGGAGGGTGGGGTTCACTTCGCTCGGGAGCTCCCGAGCGAAGTGCTCTGAGGCGAACCCTACCCCTACCCCTACCCCCCACGAAGTGAACCCCACCCTCCCCCTCAGAGATCGTGGGCCCCCCACCTGGACCTCCCTGGGGCCCGCGGCTCGAGGAAGCCCACGCCCGCCGGAGGCCTGGGCCCTGGGCTGCTCCAGGGCGCCGCCCGGGGACGCTCCTGCCTGGGCCGTCACGGGCCCCTCGGTGCCGTCGTGAGTGAAGGGGCCCCGGGACACACACAAATAAGTACACACAAATAGTATATGCCCCATACTTTCGCATACTTTCTGGGTTTCTGTCTTCCCCCCCACTTCCCATATTTTCCCATATGTTCTGAGGAATCGAGGATTAATTGTGTCTGTGTATTTTTTCCCTCTCATGAGTGAAGAAGAAACGCCATAGACATACACTTTTGGCGCTCCGCGCGGATTCCTTCGATCTGCGCTGGACCCCCCTCCCTGGCGCGCCGAGCGCGCTAGGCGGCGCCGCCAAGGGGGGGGGTCCAGCGCAGATCCAGGAACTCCGCGCGGAGCGCCAGAAGTTTCTATGTTTACAGAAATGCCTCTTCTTCGAGCCTCTTCGGGGCCCCTCTGGACCGTCATGGACTCCGTCATGAGCCATCTTCCCAGGCATGCGACGTCCAGATTTGTCAATCTGGACGCCCGAAATGGGTACTGAAAGAATGGGTACTATGGCCAACAGCGGATCTTGTTAATTTTGAACAAGATCCGCTGTCCACGCCGCCGCGGCTAGTGTCCATTCGAGACAGGAGGCCGCCCGCCCAACAGCGGCCGCTGTTGGTTTGGGACAACATTGGTTGTTGGGCATAGTGCCCATTCTTTCGGTACCCATTTCGGGTGGCCAAAGTCAAGGCGGCTTCCTTGGAAGTCCCGACCCTCTCCCCGGGACAGCTTGTTCGCCCTATAAGTCTCTTCCTGACGGCCCCGGGGACGGGCGAGGGCCCCCCGGGCCCGAAAATAACCCCAAAAGCTCCCGTCCTGATTTTTTAACGACGCGACCATGTCTGGGTTTAGGTCGGGCCTGCCCCCCTACAGGAGGATTTTGGGAGAAACATGGGAAAACACACGAAACATGCTAAACAACAACAACATCAGCAAAACTACGAAAAAGAACCGTCCCCAGAATATTGTTGGACTATTTTTGTCAAGTTTCCTCCTGTAGAGGGACAGGCCCGACTCGAGTCTGGGTTCGGGGCCGTCTTCTGCCCCTCGTGTGCCCCGGTCGCGCGCACTGGGGCCTGCCCTCGCGCGGCACCCCCGGGGCACCGCTTCGGCGGCCCGCCGCGCCGCAGAGCCTGCACGGGGGGGGGGGGGGCGGGGACCGGGCGGGGCAGGGCAGGGGGGAAGGGGAGAGGGAGAGGCGGACAGTCGGGCGAGCAGACCTGTGCCCATGCACCGATCCTGGCCAAGCCCGTCCCGGGGCCCAAGATCGGTGCATGTGCCGCCCTGGCCAAGCCACGAGGGCGTAGATCCCGGGCTCAGGATCGGCCTGGCCAGAATCGATGTATGCGCCTAATTCTCTGTCCTCTGACCAGGGGCCCAGAGGCCTCCCGCGTCTTTGGAGGGCACAAAATCCACCCCCATAATAACCACCCCGACAAGCGAGGCCGTGTACTGAGCGCCCCCACAGAAGGACCGAACAGGGCAGGGCTGTTTAGCAAACGCCCAAGGCCGTGTAGTGAACACCAATTGTCCAGTCCGGGTGGTTTTTCCTCCCTCGCGTAGTACTGAAGCAATTCCGAAGCGCAACGGAGAATGTTGGGCATGGTCGGCCCCTGGGGCCCCCCAAACCTGGACCCGGGACCGTCAACACACGGCTCGGGATGACAAGCCGCCCCAGTGCAAGGGGTCCTGACCCCCAGGGGGCGCACGTCGCCGGAACAAAATCACAAGTTGCGGAGGTTTGCGGGTGAACAGGGAAGGGCGCTGGAAAAGGAAAAAAAACAACGATGGGACTTAGTCGTTGTAAATATCCGCGGTGACGCTCGTTACGGGGGCCGCCCCGCTTCCGCAGGTGGCCAACTCACAGACAGCGCCGGAGCGAATCTGACGTCGCGGACCCCCTCCCCTCCCTCCCCCGGTAATGACACTTACCGCGCCGAGGATTCATTCTGTCCGGCGCGAGGATCGACCACGGCCCAGACCCCTCCAGTCGGGCGTGCTGGCAGAGAGCGATCGAGAACCGCCGCGGATGGCGCTGGGCTGCGCGACGGGGCCGTTTTTTTGAGCATGCCCGCTGTACCGCGTTGTGTGGTGCACGTTTGGCGTCGTCAACTGTCCTGGCGAAGTGCCTCCGGCACGTGCTGCATCTGGCATGCTCCTGCGGAACCTGGACCAGGCGTGCTGAACGGAATCGGCTCCTGCTCGAGAGAACGCTAGCTGTTGCTGCTTGCCCCTCATCCTCCTTCCCTCGCCCGCCTGTTGCTCCCCTCACCTGCTGCTGCTGTAGGCTCATGGTCGGACGCAGCCTTGCCCCCCCCCCGGCGGCATTTGCCGACCTCGGGGGAAGCAACTCTCTCATGTTGTAGCTTGGGGTGGGGGGGGGGATGAAGAGGAGGAGGGGCACAGCTTGAAACTCATAGAACACCTCAAGGAGACGGTGGTGGGGGATGATGAGGAGGGAGGGCGCAGCTTGAAACTCATGAAAAAAACATACCTCAAGGAGAGGGTGGGGGAGGGGGGATGGTGAGGAGCAGGGGCGGCACAGCTTGACACTCACAGCGCACCCTGGGGAGAGGGTGGGGAGGGGGGGAGGCGGGCCGCTCCGCTGCGGCGCGCGGCCGAGGGCCGCCCCTCGGGCGGCGCCCTCGAGGGCCCCGTGTGGGCGGCGAGCGCGGGGCGGAAGCGAGAGGAAGCGGGCCCTCTCGGACGGCTCGGAAGGCCTCGGGCCTGCTGAGAAGTTCGCTGCGCCTGCCCCGAAGGCACAGGAACTTATCGGATGGCGCGAGGGCCTCTGAGGAGCCCCGCCGCCTTCTGAGAAGGCCTTCTCCCTCTCACTTCCCCCCCCTCGCTCGCCGCCGACCTTGTCCCGCCCCCTACCGGCTCCTTTACCCCACCCGCCTCTTCTTCCCCCTGGTGAGCAGAGGCGGCCAGCACAGTTGGAACAGACGAGGGAGGGTCCCTCCTCCACCTCATCTCCTTCGCCCCTCCCCCTGACGGGGACATCGCTAATGGGTACTTTGGCCAGCGGTCCGGCGAATCGAACCCTTCTTCCTGCGGGCAACGCTGCAATGCACGAAGGAAGCCCTCGAATGGCAACTTCCGCGGGTTTCCAACATCATGATCCGGTAGACATGAACTATCGGAGGTCCGCACGGACTTCTTGGATCGGCGCGGGACCCCCCTCCCTAGCGCGCAGAGCGCGCCGGAGGCGGCGCTGGAGGCGCAGCCAGGGGCGCCCAACGCCGATCTAAAAATCCGGGTGGAACTCCGACAACTTATGCTTATGCAATTTATGCTTGGCCGCTTTCACGTGAGTACCCGTCTGTCGGAAGAAGTGGGTAGAACCATCACATAGGAAAGCGTTGGAAGTAGACTTAGTGTCCGCCCACCCCCTGAAGAGGAGCAGAGGGAAAACCACTCGACTCTTGATCTGGGCATCCAGAAGTGCCCACTTTCAGCGACTTGCGTGTACCCCTTGCGGAGACGCCGAGAGGGGCGCGGGCGCAACACAGCGCCAGGAGGAGAGAACTAGACTAGAGGTCTCCTAGATGGGGCCAGAGCAGATGTGGCCGGAGGATCGCGCCGCATCGCCGATACATCGGCGATGCATCGGTGGTGCACCGGTGCTGCACCGGCGATGCTTCGTCGACGTCGGCGATGCATCGGCGACGTCGACGTGAAGCAAAAATCGGGCCCCGCAGCGGCGATGCATCGGCGATGCGCCGCGACCCTCCGACCCCATCTGCTCGGACCCCATCCAGGAGGCCTAGGAGAACGGTCGGGAGACTCTCCATGGGGGGGGATCCCGTGGGGGGGCAGGAGGGGATCCCCCCCATATGGGATCCCCTCCTGCCCCCCCATGGGACCCCCATGGGGATCCTATGGGATCCCCCCCCCTGGGATCCTATCCCCCCATGGGATCCCCCCCCATGAAGACGAGTCTCCCGAAACGGTGGCGGCCGCCGCAAGCGGGAGGCCCG